TAGCAAACTAAAGTGTCTGCTTAGGCAGAGCACAGCAGCCCAAGTTGGATCCCTGGCCTGCCGTACCGGCCCCAACCCCAGGGCACACTGAGACACTGAGGGCACACTGAGACAGTGATTGAGACTGGGCGTGGTGGTGCGCGCCTGTAATCCCAGCGCTTGGGAGGCTGAACACAGGAGAACCACCATGAGTCTGATCTACATAGTGAGACCCTGTACACCCTGTAGACCATGTCCTAAATTCATTAATTAATAAATAAAGCCCAGTTTTGGTGAACATGTTTGACCTCTTTGTTAAAGAAAATGGGCTAGGGCTGGGGAGATGGCTCAGTGGAATAAGCACTTCCCTAGCAAGCTCAAGGGCCTGAGTTCAATTCCCGGTTCCACAAAAAAAAAAAAAAAAAAAAAAGAAAGAAAGAAAAAGAAAATGGGCTGAGTGTGTTTGTAGTTGTATTGGCATCTTCTAATCTGTTTCATTGATCCTTGATCCTTGGGCCTGTTTATTTTGTTTTGCCAGTACCATGCTGATTTTATCACAATAGCTTTTTAGTATAATTTCAAGTCAGGGCTTATAATGCCTCCTGCCTTGCCTTTGCTGATCAGGACTGCTGGTCTTTTCTGGTTCCAAATAAATTTTAGGAATGTTTTCTCTAGATCTGTGAGGTACATTGATGGTATTTTTATAGGGATTGCTTTAAATTAATATAAAAATTTTGGGAGTATGGCCATTTTCACGATGTTGGTACATAACTATATCTTCATTTGAGCAACAGATTTAATGATAAAAATAGATAATATAATTATCCAAATTATTCTGTATATATAGGATCATGTAATACCGCAACCATTGTTGAATTCCTATTACTTTGTTCAGTGAAATTTTGTATCATTTCTAATGTTTTTTTTTTCCATCACTATTTTGTATTCTTTAAAAAAATAAATAAATAAGGGCCAGCCAAATAGCTCAGTGGATTAAAGTGCCTGCAAGCAGCCGCAGGGGCTGGGAGTTTGATCCATGCTGGCCTTGTCTCCAGGGCTCGCTGAGACTGATTGAGACCGGGCGTGGTGGCACAAGCCTGTTTACAGCTCTTAGGAGGCCTTAGGAGCCTCTGTGGAACCCTGAACACCCTGTAGATTCTTCCCTAAAATACAAAAAATATACAAATAAATAAAAATTAAATTAAATTAAAAAGAGATAATATAACAGCCATTACTAATTAGCTATTCTTATTTAAAAAATCTGTAACATATGTATTGTTGTATGTTATCCTGTTTCTGCCTTTATTTTTACTCTTCAACAGAAACTAAAATAAATAAATAAATAAAGCTCAGTTCTACCACCTGTACCTTACATGTCCTTGGGAATATCATTTAACCTCTCTAGGCTTTAACTTCTTCTTTTATAAGTGGTGATAATAACAATATTTACCTGTTGCAGATAAATTGCTTTCTCCCAAAATCCACACGTTGAAGGCTAATGCCGCATACCCTGGAGTTTAGGGATAGGACTCTTGGAGTGGTACTTGAGCTAAAGAGGCTGTAGGGCAAGGCTTTCACCCAACACACCTGGAGAGGAAGAGTCACCAGGAGTTCAAGGGCATGGGGAAAAGACCGTGTGCAGGCACAGCGAGAAGGCCTCACCGGCAAGCCAAGGAGGAGGGAGCCTCGGGCGGCCACCCCTGCCAGCACCTCCATCTTGGATTTCCAGCCCCCTGGACTGAGAGACAAGTTTCTCGTTTAAGCCCCCCAGGGTATGGTATTTCATTTTGGGAGCCCTAACAAACAAATGCACGGCTACATAGAATTGTTGCAGGGATCTAAGCAGATGAAGTTTCAAGGTTGCTCAGTGAAGTTCCCGGCTCCTTCATTAATCTTCCTACTTTGACTATGCAGCCACCTCCTTTCAGGACCACTCATTTGATATCAACGATTCTAAAGTAATGAAGTCCTTGTGAGAACTGGAATTCTGCGAGGAGCCAGGGTGAGATTTCTTGCCTCCACACCCAACCTGCCCAGGTGTCTAATACATCAGGGGGCCTGAAAAAACATGTGTAGATTCAGTGGTCTTTCAATGACTATCTAAGTGCTAGAGCAATGACCCAGATGCACACAGTCTCTGTCCACAGGGAGTTTAGGGTTTAGCAGGAAGGGGTAAGATGCTGAGCGTAACATCATTACTTTCAGTATTTTCCTTTGCAGTCAACCAAGCAGCACATGAACTAAGAATGGAAATACTACTATCCCTGAAAGTAAGATCTAACCTGAAAAAAGCATGTCTTCCCCAATCAGTCTACTTTTACCTTTCCTGCTTTATGGAGTAGCCATGGAGCAAGAGAATAGGGAGGCACAATCTTCTGTCTGACACTGGCTATCACCGTAGTAATGATCATGTAGGGCTGTTTCCTGTTAGGGAAACACAGTAGTTTGATTCTCTGATGATTCCAGAGTACAAGAAGATGATACGTGGCACAGGGCATGTGCCCGCTATGTGTCGCATTCTTCTCTTGCTAACCTACTCAGTGTTCCTCACAGCCCAAGTGCAGACTTGGTTATTATTATTGCAATCTGGCAGATGAGAAGTGACCTGCTGAGGCTCATACAATGTGTAACAGTTAAAGCTGGGATTCAAGCCCAGAGCCCAAATTATCATAAAGAATGTTCTGCTGTGACCCTGAGCAAAAATGAGGTCCTCTCAGGTTTGAGGCCTTTCTAATCCCACAGCTGGGCATCTAGCCACTGTGACATGGGAGTAGGCTCAGACTCCCTGCTATGCTATAGGCTGAGGCAAGAGCAGGGCAGGTGGCCCCTCTGATAGGTCCTCTAGCCTGAGGGCCTTGTCCTACATCCCCTGGACAGAGGCTCAGGTCAGCCCCTGTGATGTTTGTGCTCCCTCCAAAAACTTATGTTGAACCCCAAATCCCAATGCGATACAGTGTGGAAGTGGAACTTGTGGGGAGAGATTAGGTCAGGAGAACAGAGCCCTCACACACAGGACTGGTACCTTTGTAGAGGCAGATGTCTGTCTTGCTCCTCTTCTGTTATGTAAGGGTACAAGAAGACAGAAGTTTGCAACCCAGAGAGGACTCTCTCCAAAACCTGACCCTTAGCACTCTGATTTCAGATTCCTACCCTTCAGAATGATGAGAAATAAATTTCTGTGATTAATAAGTCATCTAATCTATGGAATTTGTTATAGCAGCCCTAACAGACAAAGACAGATACCAGCCAAGAAAGGCAACAACGGAAGGTGTTGTCTGGAGACCTGTTTTGTATCTGGCCATAGTTGCCACTTGGTTGATTTAGATCATTGAAACTGTTCGTTCCATGGGTACTGTGGGCTAGTGAGAGACCAGGCCAAATGCCAAATGTCTTACACATGCAAGAGGTATGTCAGGGCCAAAGAGACAGAGCTCAATCCCAAAGCAGATTACAGACCAACAAAATGCTCAGGGAATGGTACAGAACCAGAAGGCCCTGGAGACCTGTCTTGCACAAGAAGAGCTGGGGCTGAAGAGACTGTGAGGTTTCTAGAGAGAGGTGTACTGGCATCGTGATCCCCGTGCTCTGGAAGGAGGAAGGGTAGATTTCCACCTCTCACCTCAGAGGGAGCGGGAGCAGTGCGTTCCTTGGAAAGCTTGGTATGCACCACTGGATGCTCCAGCCTAAAAAATCAATAACATGAGCAGTGGGCTGGCTGGGGCCCTGGGTTAAGGTGGATGAATGTAGCAGTGGCTTTGTAATTTCCGGAGCCCATATGGTTGAAGTGCTCCCTACGAGCTAGTAGGAACTTTCTGAGAAGACTGGCAGGGGTCATCTCAGGACCAATTCAAGAAGGCAAACAGCAGAAGCAAGCAAACTGCATCCCAGAGGAGCTGGGCTCTGTCCAGGAAAGAGCAGGTCACCCACCACAGCAGCAATCATTCACTCTTGCTGACAAATCCACAGCTGGGGTCCCCAATAGACAGGGCCTGAAAGGCTCCATCCGAGTCCCGTTGGGCCCAGAGAGCATGTGTCCTAATCCAGGGCATATGCACAGCAGGTGTCACCCCCCAACACACACACACACACACACACACACACACACACACACACACACCCTGCTTCTGCCTCTGTACCTCGCCTCCTGCCCCTCCACTTTAGGGGACTGAGAAACAGAAACCTCAGGAGGACATAGGGGAAGAAGGAGGAGAGAAACAAAATGGAAAGAAGAATACACCGCCACCCCTTTCCAGCGGTGCGCCTCAGGTCCACAGCAGCTGTCAGCCACCACACACTGCCTGTCTGGGGAACTGTAATTCCAGGCATGAGCATTTGCATAACTAAATCTTTTTTTCATTTGACCCAAATGACTAGCCTTGGGAGAAGCATCTTTCCTTTAAGTATAGACAGACCTTCAGTGATATATCTTAAATTGTTAGGACAATTAAGGTTTTGCGCACCTCTACCTTATCACCGCATCTGAAAAATGAGAACTTGGCAGCCGATGTAGTGCCTTTGGCCCCCACCATGGGATTTGGTCGCCAGAGACAAAGACTTGATGACTAACACAGGGACACACGTTGTGTAGAGTGAGGCACAGCCACAGGCAAGAGCAACCCGCTGCCTTTCCAGATTGCTCCCGCTGAACAAATAGACGAATCAGCCCAGCCTTTTCTCTCCGTGCATCTTCAAGCAGTAGGTGGTACAAATAAAAATACCACCTGGCCTTTGTGCAGCACTTCACAGTTTCAAAGCAACCCTCATCACCCAACGCCGCTCTCCCGCCCCCGCATCCAGCCCCAGACCATTCACATCCCGATTCCACCCACTCGCCTTCTTTTCCTTGTGGCCAGCCCCGTGTCAGCCCCTTCCGGGGGCGGGGGGGGGGGGGCCGCGTGCTCCCCCAGGTCCACGTGTCCTAGAAGAGTTTCCTCATCGAGTCAGCCAGCCAGAAATGTGGGCAGAGAGCAAAGGGCAGCTTGTTCAGGTTCTGTTTATTATGTTCTCACAGCCTTGTTTATAATAAAGGTGAATGACATGATTCCACTTTACATGGTAATGAAACAACTCAGGGAGGACTCTGTCAGCCAAGTGGTGTGTGTGGCAGATGAGCTGCTACAACTCTGTTGTGCTGGCAAGTGACTCAGCTAATGCTACCGTGGATAGAGTGGCACTCGATACCCAGCCACCTGTTCCACGCCTGGCAGAAGGGAGGGAGCAGAAGGACAGAAGAGAAAGAAGAATCAAGAAAGGAATCGTTTATTGAGGGGACCGGACCCCAGTGGCAGGAAGGCCAGTGGCCACAGCCTGAGTCTCCCATCAGGGCCGCCAGCATCTCGTGGAGTCCCGAGACAACACAGAGACAAGAAGACATCTTTGTTCTTTGCTTCTGCACAGTCTCATGCCCCGTGGCATGGCAGCACACACAGCGACACACACTCTCAGTGCTACCTCATGTTTTAACTCAGAAAGAGATTTAAAGAGGGCTGACACTTGGCCGAGTGAAGACAAGATTGGGAAGCCACAGCGCTTCTGCCTGGCCTGGATGTGGGCACACACAGGGTAGGCAGAGTTCTGAGCACTCTCAGTGGTAGGAGACCACCCTGCCTCCGAAGGGACCCCGCCTCACCTTTCGCTCTGGGACAAGGAGGAGCAGACCTCCTGACATCTGCCTGTCTTTCCTGCCCGCTCCTTCCTCTTCCGCCCTCCGCACTGCCACCCTCCCCCTGCTCTCAGCACGACAGTCTCATGATTTCCTCATAGTACAGCTTCTCCACTGATGAGGGCCTGATCTGGGAGCAGTGCCCACGGCCCACGCCTCAGAAGGCCTCTTCACAGCTTTGGTTTGTCAGAGCAGCAAGATCTGGTGAGAGCACCGTTGAGTAAAACCAGCTGGCAGCCTCCCAGCTGCCCATCCAACCTGGGACCCAAAAGGGACTGGGGAGGACTTGGAGCTGGGACCAAACCCCACGATGGCTGGAGAAGCCTCCCAGATCTTGACATTCCCGAGCACGTGCCCCCCTCTGCTGAGAAACATGGACAGTGTCGTGCCGGCACTATTTTCACTACCACAACATGCCTCACTCACTACCTGAGTTCCAGCCCCCCTGTTACATGGCCGGAAGTACAGAGGTGTATCCTGACTCAAGAAGACCACAAACAAAAGCACAGGAAAACAGACAAGGGTGATCTGGCTCATCAGACAAGCCCGGGGAAGCGCTGTGCATGGGACGTGGAAACACAGCAAAAAACACAGCATCTCTTGGCCAAGTACCACTGCCGCTCACTCCTGGCACACCTGCTGCCAGACACTACATGTGGCTTGGACCCAACCCTTCGATCTCAAAGAGGCAAGGCAGGCTGAGAGGTGGAGAGGCGGCTCCCCCAGAAGTCCAGTTCCAGAGCTGGCAGGTTTCCTGATTGTGCTTTTGCCTCTGGGTGGGCTCTCACCCTCTCACCCTGCCTGTTTTGCCCTTAATCTGTTTCTCCTCAGTCCCTAGGTACATGCCTCTGTACCTCTTCTGTACACTGGCAGCCCCTGCAGAGCTTGAAAGACAACTGCCACACAGGTCCCACCAAAGGGCTCTGAGGTAGGGCCTAAACAATTCAGTTTGTAATCCTGTCCCCCAGGTACATCTAATGCCTAGGCAAGGTTGAGAGCCATTGTCTTAAACCATCTTTGTTCCAAGTCTACTACATACCCAAGAGCTTATGAAAAATACAGATTCTTGGGCCCTGCCTCAGACCTATTGGCTCAGCATATCTAAGAGTGGGAACTGGGCAATATTTATTAGGTTTGTAACAGAGTTTTGGGGTAATCGCAGTACACACACAGTTTACTAAAATGCAACCTCAGAGGATCTCTCTCCAGCAAAGGGGTGTCCTGGGCTGGGACTGTTTATCAACAATTGCTCTGCTCCATCCAGTAAAGGCAAACCTCACTCTAGCCCCCAAACAGGTTAGCACTCTAGTGGAACCAAAATACCCCTCAGATGGAGAGAGGAATTCAAAGCCACAGTTAGGCTGGCCCAGTGCCTGGGCTTTGCCTACAGTCTTCAGAGAAAACAGACCAAGAACAGGATCAAAAGAAGATGGAACTTGGAAGCAGCTCCAGGGATGCCCACCCATGAGGTGGATGAGGCTTGTGAAGGGAAAAGAAGGGGTCAGGGGTAGAGGACCCAGAGACATGGAAGGTTGGGGATGAGGTATGTTTGGATATTGCTCTAGATGTTGTAAACATTTCTCTTTGTTTCCTTACAGACCAAAATCTAGGTTGGCATGACCAAAGTGCCTCAAAACAGGCATCAGAGCAAGGAGCTCTGCACCTTCTATGGGAAGCAGGGTACACAGGGTGGGAGGAAAGGCACCCACACAGGAAGATCATGTCTGGAGGGCACTAGTCCAGTGCTCACAACTGTCACACACTCACACACACACGCATATACAGATACACACAGATGCTCCACAGGAGTACCATAAATAGAGCTAACATGTTCTACACACAGACTCAGGCCCACAGGCCCTTGTCTATCTACAACAGAATACTGCAGCTTGGTCCTCCATACCTCCCACTGTGGGAGGGAGTCACCAAGATGCAATGACACCACCACTGACAGCTTTTTTTCCACTAGGAGTTGGAGAGAACTCGAGGCCCCAAATGAAATGCCGCACAACACTCGTGTTCCAACCTTCCTCCTTGGGGTAATGGAAGTGCTGAAGAGAACCTTGCTAGAACATAACTCTGCAGCTCCCATTTGTACGCACCTCATTTCAACAGTAGAGTTGGCAGCAGATGCACATTTTGCATGTAAACAATGTATATAATACCCTGTTAGATAATTTGATCATTAAATTAATTCTGGCAGCTTTAGCTAAAAATGGATTTTTTTTTTTAACTGGGGTGGGAAGATACTATCAGCCTTAACTAAGAACACTATTTGAGGCTTTGGAGTTCTTAAGCATAAACTCCCACAGGTCCACTCAGTGTTGGGCCAGGGAGCAGATATTTCTCTTTCCAGAAGTCCATCCAGAGGTACCAACCCTCACTCACAGATGACAGTGGCCGAGGCAGAGAAGTAGGCACTAACACTAGTAGGACTCAAGGACCTTCTTGGCTTTGTCTGGCTAGAGCCAAAGAAGAAAGTGATTCTCAAAGTTACAGGACAGAAGGGCAAATGCAGGGACCCCGGCATGGCCCACCAAAGGAGAGGGCTTCAGCTCCTTCTCCTGCATTCTGAAGTCTTTGCCCAATCTTGTGCTGCTTTATTCCTTCAAGCTAAAAGATTTGTAGACCTGCACTGAATCTGAATCCAATGCATGTAGATTCCCAGTAATAACTCCATCGCATTATTTGATATTCACGTCCCCTGGAGAGCAGCATCTTCCCGGCTCCACTTCCACATTCTGACCTCCCTACTGAGGGTTCATCTCCTCCGTACTGCTCTTGTGGCACTCAGTTTTTCCTGCACCGCTGGAGGAGGTTCTGCACTGTTCATCATTTGTCCTCCAAGGAAGTTTCCCACCATTTCCAACAGTGGCCACAGAGTAACAAGAAAGCATTTTAGGAAGGTATCCACAGTTAAATGTTCACAGTGATCTTCTTATCCACACCTGCCTATTTTATGTTCAATTCCAAAGGCTAACAACTGAGAAGGACGCTGATTCTCGAGAGCCAAGAGGGGCCTTTCTAAGAAAGCAAGCTCCCAGGAAGCAAGCTGCAAGAAGCATCAGCCTGGCTCCCTGTTCTCCCCCATCATAATTACATGGCCTGCATGGAAAGGGGGAGATGGGCAAACAGGACAAGTATTAGGCACTGGGAGAGCTGTCATGCTATGGGAATTTACCTCCCTTTGCCAAGCTGTCTGTCTTTCTACGAGATATGCGATGTCCCAGGGAGACAAGAGTAGAGAGCACATTAAGCAACAGATACATTATAGGGAGCCTCATTACATAAAAGTCTACTGGTTTTACATTCCCTGGTCATTTTGAAAAGTTCCTGGTAGAATTGAGGACTATTTGCAAGCTGTATCTTTCTTAATGATAGCTCCACTCAAAAGTCATGAAAGAAATCTCATAAGACTCTTTCTGGCAATGTAAAGGTAAGGAATTCTACAAATTTCCTAGACTAAGAAGGGCAGAGGTCACAGATTCTCACACTGGTCAGTGGAAATGGAAGAAATGACTGGCTCTGTGGAGCTTGACCCATCCCAAAGGGCACCTGCCAATGATGCCAAAAACCTGGGATTCCATCTGATAGTGCCAGAGGGCTGGGGTTCTGTAGAGATCTCTCTCCTAATATGAGGTCTCAGTACCTGGGATTGGTGTCTACACTGGGAACTGCATTTGCATTATTTACAGTCTAGCCTAGCACAGCAAATCTGCCTTCTCAGTGGATGACCCGAGACATTATGAAGATAAAGTTGTTGACCCACAGAAGGGCAACACCAGTGAGGTGCTACCACTAACTTAAACACAAACATGGGTAAATGGAAGAGAGTCCGAGCTCTGGCAGCTGGATTACTCTTTGGAATGGCCCTTCATTCTCTCCTCACCCTCTGCCTCCTACCCCAAATGCCACCACCTTTAAACACCTATGAGATTTCACATTAGAATATGGTCTTGGCAGCAAGGGGAGGGGAAAGCCGGTGATTTCCAAGAGTCCCCATCTGAGGATTAACTGAGCCTCCTCTGGCTTTGGGACAGCAAATCTAAGTACATTTTGGACCTCAGGAACCTGGGGTAAGAGTCTTTCTCCATGAGGCTGTGTACTTTTCCCTGGGCTTGGTCAAAGCAAGTCAGGGATGGTTCCTGCATATTCTTTCTTGTAGCTTCTCGGGTCTGGAAGTCGATGTTTACCTGCAGACAAAAAACAGAACAAGATTACAGACCCTCGAGGACCAAAGCACCTGGCAGCTGGCCCGACAGGATGACCATTAACAAGAGCTTCTATCTTTAAGGTGATGGGGGTATTTCAAGTTGTTTTCATGATGCTCACCTCATGAGATCACAGCAAGAAGCTTGTGGGAACTGAAGACTAAGTATTCTTAGTTTCAGTTTGTAACTAAGGCCGCTGATGAAAGCTGTCATGCTTATCTAAAGTAATATGGGTAGTAGTAGAACCAAGACAAAAATTCCCAAATCAATTGGTCCCTAATCCAAGGGCCTCCACAGCAAGCAAAGAGTTAAACTCAAGTCAAGTGTTCATGCAGGTTTCCTAGGGGAAGCCTTCCCCCTGTCCTTTCATAACTACAAGGAAATAGATGCCCTATAGAAAGAGATCCTGGCTAGAATGTAATCAGTAGGGCTGGGAAAATAGCTCAGAGGCTCACATGCCTACCAGACAAGTACAAGGTCCTGAGTTCAAGTCTCGGTACCAAAGAAAAGAAAACCATGTAATTTGTATTCAAACCAGCATTATAAGGGGTTTATAGCATCCTACCTTTCCACTGACAAAGACTTCACCAAACCAAATCGAAGTATAATTGAAGACTTGTAGGCATATAGTGCATCTGAACTCATCGATAGCAAAAGTTTTCTTCAACTAAATCCTACCAACTGAAACTCTGTACTGTAACTCACAATAGAAATACATAGAACTTCGCCATATTTAAAATAAAATAATACGAATAACTACAAAGACTCATTAATGACAAATATCGAGTAGGTAACTTATCTCTAGTCCTCAGCGTAGTGCTGAGTGGACAGTAATACTACCGTTTTTACACTGGGCCAAATGAGATTCAGAAAGGTTGAATAACTTGACCATGATACACAACTAGTGAATAAGGAGCTGACATTGGAACAAAATTTCAAAGAAGACACTTAGTGCACTAACTGTGCTAATTTTTGCTAGGAAAATGAACATGGACTCAAGGGTATCTACTTTTACAAAACTCCTGTAGCAATGCAGATGTGGCCAGCTTGTATTTGACAATGAGGATGTTCCTAATACAGCTCCTCTGACCAATATTCTGAGCTTCCAGGCCTTCAGGATAATTTCTTTTGGCCTGGGGATGCACTGAGTGGTACAGCATTTGCTTTGCAGACCCGAGGCCCTGGGTTTTATCACCAGCCCCACAAAATGATCATCATTATTATCATCACCATTATTGTCTATTAAAGGCTGCCAGAGTACTTTAGCTTAGCTCAGTAGAAGAAAGTGTCCACCAATCCCTGCTCAGACTCCTCTAACGGAGATGAGAGCCAGCAGCGACACACTGAGGTCTCACCAAAGATGGTGGCAGGGGCCTACACACCTCCCGTGGAGCCTGCACATCCACAAACTCTTCAAAGATCCTGTGGGCTTTGGAGACCAGCTTTGCTGTTGACCTGGTCTTTTTGAACTCCTCACAGGCCAGCCAGAACTCCAGGTTCTCCTCACTGAACTCTGTCTTTAGGAAGGCGCGGAAGGCGGCCACACCATCTGCAGATGTGGAAGGAAAAGATAAGAAAGAGGTTTACATTCAAGGACTACAGAAAAAAAGAGAAAGACGGTAACATAATGTGAGACTCCTAACTGTCCAGGCCCACTCCCCCTCCATATCCCCTGGAAAACTCTGCTCCCTGAGGCCTAAACATCCTCAGAGCAAGCTGTGCCTCTCACTCAAGGCTCAGAGTATTACAGAGAGGAAAATTTAAAAAGCCTCAGACAAAACAAATCTGGGTAGGCCTGGTCACTTCTAATCAGCCTTCAGTGCTTACTGCCTGTCTCCTAACAGAGATGGCTGTCCCCCGGGGCTCCTGCTAACCCTGTGCTATTAATTAGGCCAAGGCAATGCATGTAATTCAGTCCCTCCCCAGTCCAAGACAACATCATAAGAAAACACACAAACTAGAATGAGCTAGACAAACTAGAGGAACATGTGACTGTCTCCAGGCCAATCCTTTACTGTTCCCTCTAAGTAAATCCCCCTACTGAAAGTCAGTCCATAATACCATTCTGTCACCTATACAGCATTTCCAGGAGCTTTTAGAAAAGCTTTGAGTCCCTGTATCTTGATGTTCTATTTTGTGTAGTCTTTAAGGATTTGGCTGTGACTTACATGTTTGTTTGTCTGTTTTTTTTGCAGAACTGGGAATTGAACTCAGGCCCTTGCGTTTGCCAAGGAAACGCTTATTCCACTGAGCCATCTCCCCGGCCCTGATGTACATGTTTTAATACTGAGATTGATTGTAATTTTTCTCTACCAGATAACTTAATGGTTAACACACCTTTTTTATCCTTATGAATTAATGTCACATATATATTGCAAAGTAGATCTTCCGATCAAGACAAGATGATCAGGGTTACCCCATCAAGTCAACAGGGGAAACAATACTTATTTATAGCTTGAACGTCCAGTTAGTGCTTTTGTTTTAAACATTTTGAATAAGTGTTTTAACCCTTAACATACTCTCCTTTAATCAAGTGACTACTACCTATATAGGCTTCTACAAACTGTCCTCAGAAGAAGAGAAGATACATCCTAAAATAAAAAAGTTTTGCCCTGGTTAAAAGTGACTCAAATGATGTTTTCAATTTTCTTCTAAAAACTCACAAGGAGGGAAAAACGCTAACAATTCTTAAATCTGGACGGTGGTTGAACTGGACAACTAATGTCCCTCCACATGAACCAGCATAGTGTGCTGGCTAGAATCGGCCAATAGCTTGCTGGTGCCATGCTGTTTTGAAATGTTTCCTTTCACTATGTTGAAACTCTTTTATTTCTACTAGTAAGAAAATTATACATCATTGAGGACAGCAAAGTGCAATATAGCAAGCACAGTGGAATACCTTTCATCTTGTTCTTTTCTTTAAAATGTGTTGTCTCTGATGTCTTATCTATTATTATTATACGTTCTTTAAAATAAATTTTTAAAAAAGTAAAAAGGACAAGGAAAAATATTAAGGCTTATTGACAGGAAGAGTTTTGTTTGTTTGTTTGTTTGTTTTTAATGTATTTAGTACAGGGTCTATCAGGTCTCATTACACAGATTGGACTCGTAGTGATCTTCCTGTTTTCAGCCTCCCAAGAGCTGGGGTTACAGGCGCATGCCACCACAATCTATCTCAGTTGTCTTTTCAGCAAGCCCCAGGGGTAGGGCCAGCATGGCACACCAGGGATGGAACCCCGTCTCTCCACCTGCCTAAGCAGGGACTTGAATCAGCTGAGCTATCTGGCCAGACCTGACAGGAAGAGCTAATGTTTAATTGTTTGACCAATCTTGCATACCTACATCTGGTAATCTGAGCAACAAATTTGATAATAACAATACATAATATAACAACCATTGTTAATTTTCTATTCTTGTTTTGAAATTCTGTAACATTTGTATTGTTTTATGTTGCTTTGTTTCTACCTTTGTTCTTATATGTTTTTATTTGGGATTTTTTTTCCTCCTTAAAATATAAGAAAGAAAATTATTGTCTTTGTCTTTCAAAATAGATACCTCAATGTTGTCTCTAAAACAATAATCATAAAAGCCAGGACCTTTTACTGCAAGAGCCAGGGGTTCTCATGGGTTCCCAAAATTAAGCTCTAAATCACAAGAAAATCTAAGTTTGCAGAGCTGGACTTGAAGTGTATTGAGAGAAGCAGAGGGACTGTGCAATTTATCATCCAAGCCAGCACATTTCTGAGCATAAAGGGTGAGCCACTGTTAGTTACACGGGGATGATCAGCATAAGCCCCGAGAGCCACAGGCAACAGCCCGGATACATAGACTCCCAACTCAAAGCCATGGAGTGTGGAGAGAACAGAATATAACGCTAGGCTACATCCCATCAGGCGTGATGGAAGTAAAACTATTCTTGTGCCAGGAGGATGAGGATAGTAACATGGTGTTAAATCAAATAAGATGTCGAGTGAGGACACCTCCCACCCCATTCCTACCTACATCAGAGTCAAAGTTCTGGAAAAAGAGTATGCATTCACAATGAATGGGAATCAAGGTGAGCATAATGTACGGACATGGCAATGCTAAGCACATTGGTCTGAGGCTCATTTATTAATTTCAACTATGATTTTTAAATTACTAATGTATAAAGCACTGTTCTTAGTCTTGGGATACATGAAAGAAGAAATCTTATCATTGCTGCCCATTAGTTCCCTTGAGGGTGCTCACCTGTAACCCCTGCCATACCCTGCGGCCACAGGTTCCCCATGGAGGAGATCTAGAAGTTTCCATGGGCTCCAGAGTTAAACTCATATTTGAGAACAAGCACACCTGGCAGGCCAAGAGGCTCCTGAGGCAGAAGTTCCAGGCAGAAGGTGGATGGAAAAACACTGGGGCTGGAGACATCTCCAAAAAGGCTCAGTGCCCTTGAGAACCAAGGAGTTGCTGGCTCAGGAAAAGAGGGCTCAACAGCTGCCCAAGGCAGGCCTGAGAAACAGGCCAGAAGTCTCCTTCAACACCTCCAGCTTTTGTATTCAGGTGAGCTTTAAAGTAAATTTATCTTCAACTGATACATGAAAATCATACATATTTATGGAGTAACAGTGGTATTTGATAAAACTATATACTATACAGTTTAAATCAGATTAAATATAAATTCCTCAAACATGTACCATATCTTGATGGTAAAGCCTTCTAAAATCTTTTCCTTTATCTTTCTAAAATTTACAATACATTATTGTTATGCATAGTCAACCTCCCTGCAATACTTCGCCAACCTTTTTACTCTACCTAACCATAACTCATCACCCCTTGGTTAACATATTCTGATACCTCTCTCTGCATCTATATTTAGTCTGTCTTTCTCTCTTCCTCCCCCTCTCCCCACTCCCTCCCTCTCTTTCTCTAAGTTGGAGACTTTTCACAACTTAGTCACATTAGTTGTGACTATCCAGAGATCAGCTTCTTCTACACCCCACATAAGAGTGAGATCAGGGACTACTTGCTCGTCTTTATATCCTTTCCGCTGTAGTTGAGCAGGGGGAGGTGAAGGGAAGCGAGGAGGTCCAAGTCTGTGCCTTTATCCAGAAAAGGAAAGAGGAAGCAACTCACAGAGCCTGTTGTTTTTAAGCCAGAAAAGACTAAATTCTTTGAATGAGGGTTGAAGTTTGCTGTTTGCATCAGATTTTGCTGGTTTTCACTAAACAAAACCAGGTGCTACTAACAAAGTTACACGTAGTTATAGATAAGATAGAAAATCCCGTTTCTGCCCTCTTCTGTGGTACTGCTAAGGAAGTCCTGTCTGCCTCTCAGCTAGACAAGATACATGCATGGTCTCTTTTCATCTAGGGCCCAGCTTTGATGGGTCATGGTAGGGATTAAAAGAGATTGTACCTGCAGAGTGATCCCCGGGAATGGGGCTAGTCTCTATTACACAGGAGGAAGCTGATGTTGAAAGAAACAACTTGCCTGATGTCACACAACTGATAACAGGAAACAGAAACCTTCGGATAATGTATGCTATCCTGATCTAAAGTGGTGACAGTGCCATTCCACGGACTCATTCATTCACCCCTTGGGTGACCCAAGTGTTCTGTTCAGCACTGAGAAAGGGCACAACATGGTCTCACAGATGTCACTTGCCAAGAAGGGCAGTCTGAGCCAAGAAAACATGATCGTGGCCATTCTAACATAGCGTACTGAGTTAAGTGATGAACAAGTATGAGGGGCTATGAAGGCATCCTCAGCAGTGTTACAGTCCCTCTGAATAGGGAAGGAGGCCTGCAGGAGGAAGAGGCTTCTACAGAGTGGCAGGAAGGTGAGGATAAGGAAGCTCCACAGAAGGAGGAAGGGGCATATTGAGAAGAGAATTCAGGAAGAGGGAACCACACACACGAAGGCTAGGATAAGAAAGTTTATTGAGTAACTAGAGATACTTTAGAAAGATTAGGGTTTAATAATAATAAGAAAGCTAAAAATTACACAAAAGAGATACTTGCATGCCTATGTTTATCGTGGTACTATTTACAATAGTCATGATATGGAAGCAGTCTAAGTACCATCAACAGATTAATGGATAAAGAAAACACAGTACATATGCATGGCAGGTATTACTTAGCTAGGAAGAAGGACAAAATCATGTGTTTAAAGGACAATGTTTGGAATTGGAGTGTCATCCTACCAAGCAACATAAGTCACAAGTATGACATGTTTTCTCATATGTAGAAACACTAAAAATTGACTCAAAAGTAAAAGAGGGAGATATAAGGCAAAGGAAGGAAACTAAGGTAGGAGCGAAAGAAAAGCAGGCAATGAGGCTGAGGAGATGGCTCAGCAGTCTAATCACCTGCCTGGCAAATACAAGGTACCGAATTCAATCCCCAGTACTGAGTGCCATGCCAGCCCTGGAACCCCAGGTACACTGTGTAGGACCTAGAACCAGGCATGGTGGCACATGCCTATAATCCCAGCTCTGGGGAGGCTGAGACAGGAGGATCACTATGAATCTGAGGTGCATAGAGAGACCCTGTATCAAAAAAGAAAGGAAGA